CTACGACGAGGGCTAGTTATGAGTCTCCCTATGACGAGGGCTAGTTATGAGTCTCCCTATGACGAGCTCTAGCTATGAGTCTCCCTATGACGAGGACTAGCTATGAGCAAGTCTGCTGCTACACTTCTGACAGCATTATCAACAAAAGCACTGCAGACACACCTGTTTCCACACACTTAATTTTGTAGCTATGTGTGTGCAAAACTGAGCAGTGGGACTCTGCCTCATCCTTTTGTGCTACACACCAAGATCATGAATAGCCCATAGAAGGCTGTAATTTGCCATCCTAAAACTGAATGCCATAAACAAATAGTTCAGTCTCTCTCTAACTTCATTTTCCTTTTATTTCCATCAATCATTTAAAAAAGTTTCCAATTAACAATGATTAAGCTGGCCTAATTCTAAGAGAGAATTACATACTATTGCCAGGGGTTCTCAAACTTTTTAAACAGGGGGACAGTTCCCTGTCCCTCAGACTGTTGAGGGGCCGGACTGTGGGCCCTGGGACAAGTCAGCTGCTAAGCAGGACAGGCAGCGGTGGCAAAAACACCTGGCAGGCCAGATAAATGTCCTTGGTGGGCTGCATGTGGCCCGTGGGCTGTAGTTTGAGGACACCTGGCCTCTACCAACACTCGTTTGAATTAAGACCTATCTAATTCCACTATGCAAGCAATATACCTCCCTAATCAGCTCTGAGTAGCTTTCTGTCAAGCTAATGCAAAAAAAAAAAAAAATTTTTTTTTTTTTTTTGGGTATAAACCAAGCTGGAATATATTCTTAGTAAAGTATCTCAAGAATGGAAGAAAAAGTATCCAATGTACTCAATACTACTACTAGGAAACCAACATTTAATCAACTAATACAAAATTTTTGATATTTACCCCGCTGTCTCACGAATGAGGCCAGCCTCGGGTGAGTAGCATTTGTAGGAAAATGCCTACAAAAGATCTGTGGGGGTTCTCACTGCATACAGTTTAGGGAGTTCTGGTTGCCATGTGGCCAACTCAGCTGGCCTCAGCATTTGATAACACACATTTATAGAAATAAAAACCCTGCTGCTTTGTTAACAACTCCCTAACGAGGAGCCACTGATCTGTGAAATGATCACTGGCTCCTCAATGGGCCCCTGCGAAGGCTGATAGGTCCCATAATGAGCATAACTGGACATAACACTGTGTAGGCAGAAGCTGGGCCCTGAGGTCCCATTTTTGTCCTGGTATTTGCTGGACATAAGGCACACCCTGAAGTCAAAGGAGAGAAGGAGGCGTGGGCTTGGGAGCAGGAATTGAGTGAATGATAGTCAGAAAAGCCAGCAAGGGCGGCGCCTGTGGCTCAAGGAGTAGGGCGCTGGCCCCATATACTGGAGGTGGCAGGTTCAAACCTAGCGCCAGACAAAAACTGCGGGGAGAGAAAAAAAAAAAAAGAAAAAGAAAAGCCAGAAAAGAAAACATTTCTTTCTAGCTCCACTGTGGGTGGTATTAAAAAAAGTAGCTTGTTCAAACTTGGCATAATGTCTATATGGACTTGGAGAACACACACTGTGTCTAAAACAATGGTGCTGACCAACTTCTGAGGAAAAGGTAGCTAGGTACCAAGGGACAGACAGCCGCTCTGTGGCTCTGCTAGCTTGTGAACTCCAAGACGGCAGTGACTCCATTTTTCTCATGCCTCACAAAATGCCTGGCACACACTGGCATTCGCATCAAGTTCACTGAATGAATAAATGTTCTGTGGAGCAGAAAACAGAAGGAGACTTGGCCAACATCTCAAACTCGCGTCTAAGCACAGAGAAAAGCTAATGTTTCAGTGAAGTCATGGCTTCCCAGAACAGAGACCAAAGGGCAAGGGTGACACAGGGTAGGTCTGAGGAGGACTCAGGCAGGGATGCCATTTCTGCTCACCTTCAATTTCTGAAATCTTCTTTTCTGTCTCCTTCTCCATCACTTTCTGCCCATATGTGATTTCAGCAACCTGGGCCACTTTTTCTGCCTCTATACAAGTGAAGTTGGGAAAGACTTAGAACCCTGGTATTTCAGAAGTTTGGCTAATTTCCCCTGATCTGAGTGCCCTGGTGTATGAAGGACACACAGGCAGAAGTGGGCTATGCCAGTGACTACAGTCCCACATTCTCAGCAGGAGAGAGTGACTGAGGAGACCTGGGCCCCAGGGAGGAGGAAAAAGCCCCAGCTCTCTCCGAAGTCTCAGGGGCTTCTCCCCAAGAAAGGTTCTAAAGAATAACTTATTCTCTAATAAGTTTCTACCTGGCACTTCAGTTTAGAAAGTAGTCAGGTTGGTGGTTGATCAAGAATCTAAGTTCTAGAGCTGAAGTCCCTGGATTTGAATCCGAGTTCCACCACTTACTTGCCATATGACCTTGGACACATTATTTCACCTCCCTGTGCTCCAGTTCAATAAAATGGGTTTAATGATCATACAGTAACCACTCCCAAGGTGGTTGTGAGGACTGAGTTAATCCACATATTAAGTCCTTAGAAAAGTACCTTGCTCATAGTGGGTGCTCAGTGAGTGTTAGCAGTTATTATGAAAGAACCAACAGAGGCTCGGCACCTGTGGCTCAAGTGGCTAAGGTACCAGCCACATACCTCAGAGCTGGTGGGTTTGAATCCAGCCTGGGCCTGCCAAACAATGACAACTATAAACAAAAAATAGCCAGGCATTGTGGTGGATGCCTATATCCAGCTCCTTGGGAGGCTGAGGCAAGAGAATTGCTTAAGCCTAGGAGGTGGAGGTTAGCACTCTACCTAGGGCAACAAACTGAGGCTCTGTCTCAAAAAAAAAAAAGAAAAGAAAAGAAAAGAAAAGGACCAGGAAGGGCTCCTGTCATTTAAGAAACTCAGACCTCATTACCCTGGCCATAATCTGACAATCTCCGCATTGCTTCTGGGCATCTGAGCACCACTCCTATGCTGGGAAGTGTTCACGGGACTGTGTGGTCTGACCAAGCCCAGGCCTTCCCTGCGTCTCCCCGTCTCCCCACCCTGCCCAGCCCTTCCCCTGCAGACCGATGAGGGCCTTCTTCCGCTCCGTCTCGGCTTCCTTCTCCACCACCTTCTGTTTCTGGGCTGCAATGAGAAGCTTTGTCTTCTCGCTTTCCCTGAAGGGGAAAAATGTTTGCCGCTGTGAGGCTGCTACAGAGCAGCTTCTAAAGCACTTCACTGTCCTCTGGAGAAGTTGAACCCTTCCACCGAGGAGAGGCAAGCTGTGATTTCTTACTCTCTCCTAGAAGGCTGTTTAATGGCCCAGGTAAAAACTCATCTGTTGCAGTTAGTAACATGGTTCTTCTTCTCTCCCAAAATAACTCATTTGTGGGAAATAAAACATAATTTACTTTAGTAAAATACACCTGCCTGTCCACTCACTCGTCTCTCCCTCTTATCTCCCCTTTGGTATGAACCACTGAACACAAACCAGGCCCTCGGCCCTTTTAAAAACCCTGCTGCTCTGAGAGGCCTCTCCTGGGGTTCTCAGTCACAGTTAAGGAGCCCCGGAGGTGGCTGTGACATGCCTACTCAATCTCACAGTGCAGTGGGCTGTAGCTAATACTCAAGCAAGGGAACAACTGAGAAGCCTGGCCCAGCTTCAGTTACTTCTGGGGTGGGCTGGGGTGGGAGAGCACAGGTGTACTCACATCAACTCGTAGTTCCTGCGAATTGCCTCGGGTATATTGGGCTTTGTCACCCGCACAGCCTGGAGAGGGATAAAAACAGTGCCTGATAGGAGAGTGAGGGAGGTGAGGGTGGTGAGGGATGTAAGTAGCTCCCCCCAGACCTTGAGCTCCCTGCACAAATGGCCATCCCTTGGAAGAGGGGACGCAGTATCAGCGAGAGGGGACTCCACCACAGTGGCAGTGCTTACTTGGATGACAAGTCCAGGGGCCATGGAGGTTAGGTCCTGTTGCAAAGCCAGTTTGAGATTTTCATCAATCTGATCTGGAAACAAGAAAGACACAGAAAAAGAGTTGTTACACTTTCCAGACAGGGGTGAGGGCAGTCTGGGGAAAGTACAAGTTTAATCGCCAGCTCAGGAATGGGCTTTCTGGACACAAGGTCTTCCCACAGTGGTGTACTTATCAAAAGATCCTCTGCAAGGCTCCTGCAGCTCCGCGCCTAGGCAGCTTCTATATAGCTAAATGTCAGGACATCCTTCTTCTGTGGCTTCCACATAAAAAAGATAAAAATCAACTTTGTTGTTGAAAATATTGAATATGCTATACAGGGGAATCTGACTTAAAAAAATGAAAAGAACAAACAATTCAAGCATGTTTCTTGAGTGAGGCAGCAGCCTTTTTCTGAACAATAGCAGCAAAAAGGAAGGCAGGCTCACAGAGTTTATGAAGAAAGAAGATGGAATGGTTATGTTAGGTCTTTTAAAAAGAACTAAGCACATTAAATCTAGTAATTTTAGATGTTTCTAAAAGAAAAACAGATTCTGACGTCAACAAGAGCCCCAGTGAAGACTGTTTCTATTAGGAACTCCATCAAACAACACAAGGAGAAAATTAAAATTTACAATTCTGGAAATGAATCCAAGTCTTTTGATGTGCTGTTTGCTTTGGTCCTGATTCCTCTGTCTGGAATTCACATGTGAGTCATTTCAGAGACAAGCGTAGGAACAGTTGTAACCAACTCCCTTCACTCCCTCCAGCTGTGACCTCGGAACAGCAGCAGCACCAAAGCTGCCTTCTCTGGCCTGGGCCTGCTCAGGGTGTGACAGCCCTCTTCCCTGCACTCTGCCGAGAGCTCCTCACTAAGAGTCTGGAAGGGTTAGGAGAAAAGACTGGATGAAACCAGGCTGGGACTTGTGTCACCTTCCCCATTGCTCGCTGCCATCTCCGTCAGTGGACCTTTGGTCGCCTGGGTCCAAATAAGAGACATTGAGGAAGAACAAGTTTCCTTTCTTCTCCAGAGGCCAAACTGAGGCCTGTGGAAGCTAGCTAGTGGCTAAAATCATAAACTTGATTTATTACTGCGCTTTATTAGGATTTCAAAACAGCATATTGATAGGCAAGAAATTGCAATATTTCTACATGTAGGAAATGCCCTCTTAGCACTGAGGGAAGAATGCTATAAAGTTAGCGCTCTAATAATTTAACAACTAGAAATAAATACTGCAATTCATGTTTTACAGTTTAAATAGAATACCAACCAAACTTCAGTGAGATGGCCTGTACCCTCCATAAATTAATAATAGAAGTCATTTATCAGACCAAATTATATCTGAGTAGAAATCTGTAGCTCTAGGCTAGTAACCTGCTGGGAAAATCTGGAAGAAATAGTTTGCAAGGTGTTTTAGTAACACTGATACTAAGTTGTTTATATGTAATGATAATATGAGGGTCATTATGAAAAGTTTTAAGATACACAAAAAACAAGAAACATAAAATCCCAGCTGGGCATAGTGACGCATGCCTGCAATCCTAGCACTTGGGAGGCCAAAGTGGGTGGACTGCCTGAGCTCAGGGGTTCGAGACCAGCCTGAGCCAGATTAAGACCTCATCTCTGAAAATAGCTGGATGATGCTCATAGCTCAGTGGGTACGGTGCCGGCCACATACACCGAGGCTGGTGGGTTCAGATGGGGCCTGGGCCCGCTAAAGCAACAATGACAACTGCAACAAAAAAATAAGTAGGGCATTGTGGTGGGTGCCTGTACTCCCAGCTACTTGGGAGGCTGAGGCAAAAGAATTGCTTAAGCCCAAGAGTTTGAGGCTGCTGTGAGCTGTGATGCCACAGCACTCTACCAAGGGTGACAATAGTGAAGCTCTGTCTCAAAAAAAAAAAAGAAGCTGGGCGTTGTGACAGGTGCCTGTAGTTCCAGCTACTCAGGAGGCTGAGGCAAAAGAATCGCTTAGGCCCAAGAGTTTGAGGTTGTTGTAAACTATGACCCCACGGCACACTACCAAGGGTGACAAAGTCAAACTCTGTCTCAAAAGAAACATAAAATCCCAGCTGGGCACGGTGACTCACACCTGCAATCCTAGTGCTCTGAGAGACTGAGGAGGGAGGATCATTTGAGCTTAGGAGTTCAAAATCAGCCTGAGGAAGAGCAAGACCCTGTCTGTACTAAAAATAGAAAAAAATTAGCCAGGCATTGTGGTGGGTGCCTGTAGTTCCAACTACTTGGGAGGCTGAGGCAGGAGTTTTTTTTTTTTTTTTTTTTTTGAGACAGAGCCTCAAGCTGTCCCCCTGGGTAGAGTGCTGTGGCATCACAGCTCACAGCAACCTCCAACTCCTGGGCTCAAGCGAGTCTCCTGCCTCAGCCTCCCAAGTAGCTGGGACCACAGGCGCCCGCCACAATGCCCAGCAATTTTTTTGTTGCAGCCTTCATTGTTGTTTGGCGGGCCCGGGCTGGATTCAAACCCGCCACCTTAGGTGTATGTGGGTGGTGCCTTAAGCACTTGAGCCACAGGCTCCGAGCCGAGGCAGGAGTTTTTGAGTTTGCTATAAGCTATGTTGCCACAACACTCTACTGAGTTACAACAAAGTGAGACTCTGTCTCCAAAAAAAAAAAAAAAAAAGTAAAATCTGTGCAGACAGGAACAAATGAAGCCCTCCCAGCAACACTGATAAACCCGGCGAGTTGAAACTTGCATGGGTGAATCAGAAAAGATGCTATCAACTGTGTTTCCTGAAGTGAAACAATGAACCATAACACAGCCTGTCTGAAAACTTTCATAGTGACCCTTATGTTTCTAAGTGTCTTTTAAGTAATATTACCAAGTAAACACAGAGAGGTCCTTCAGGTAAACTTCGGAGCAAGTATTAGGTACTGTTTTTATAAAATGAGCAAAGAGGGTGCAGCAGAAAGAAGTGATGCACATGCTGCAGAGTCGTGTGTACGTCGCGGCTACGACAGTCTGGAGGGGGGGACTGTGGAGGAACCTGCAGAGTTCAAGGAACAGGAGCAAAGCAGTGCTTGCCTGCAAGACGGAAATTTAAAAAGTTTCAAAGCAAATACATTTCCCAGCTCCTCTGAACTTTGTTACGCTACCACGTTATCTGTAAGACAGTAAGTTTTCTAACGAAAAATAAATTAGTAGTTTACTATTCTCTTCTGGGACACTGAAGATTCTTTATCTTCTGCTGTTTCAAATGCTTTGAAATGTTCACAGAATGACACCTTAAAACAACAGCTAGAGATAGAATATTTTATAAAATTCTATTGGTTTGAAGTTAAAAAAAATCAATAGCACATTTACCATTTTTCTGAAAAGCACACTGAATCCACAACTGATAAAATACAAACTCTATAAAATGAATTTAGATTCATTTTTCTACTGCAGAAAAATGCAGTAGAAAAGAGGGATTCTGATGATTTCCTAAATCTTCAACAGTGCAAAAGGCTATTTGCTTAACTATGATCATTAACAATGTTGATGATTTCTCCTTCTGTCTACTACAAAAAATGCTCTTGCTCAGGGTCCTTTTTATGAAGATTCCTGGGAAAAATCACCGTCCAGTCTAGTACTAAGAATAGTTTACTACTAGTTGAAAAATTTACTTTTAGCATTGGCTACTAGAAAATTTCTAGCAGCAAGTCTAAACAAAATTCTTTACCATAAGAGTTATAACGATTGCTAAAATGTTTCCCTCCTTCCCCACTAAGTCAGGCTGTGTTTACTCTGACCAGGTACAAGGGACAAAGCATGTGTACTTCCACACGCAGAGCCTTTCTGTTTAAAGTGTTTTCCTATTCACCTCTGCAGGTACAGGGAAAAAAAATTACAAAACTTCTAGGAACTGCTAGGAACTACAGTTCTGATTCGCTTCTAGAATTAACTGTAAACCACACCCTTCTTACCCCCTATCCTGGCTGTCCTTCACTCAGCGTGGTGTGGTGAAAAGAACACTGAAGGAAGAGTCAGGAGATGAAAGTTCCAGCTTCAGCTCTGCCGCCAGCCAGGGCCTAGCTCTGTAGCTTTCTCACCCTGGACTGCAGTACCCTTATCTTACAATGAAGATGTTGGCTGGATAATCTCTATAGTTTTTCTAGAACTGGCCTCGTCTTCATTATAGAATGATGTTTTTCCATTCTAGTCCTCTGATTCAGGCCAGAAGTGAATACTCCATTCAAGCTCAACCACTCTAATGACCTTCTTCCACTGTCATGAACACTTGCTAGCAATTCCCTCTGTGACCAGTTCTGAGCACTGCATTCTGCTGGTAAATCCTCATCTATCCTGCAAAGTTGCTCCGGACCAGACAGTGGGATAGGTAGGGATGCTCGGCACAGTGTGGTCAGGACAGACTTCCTTACCAAACAGCTCAATGTAGACCTCCTGAAGTGTGTGTACACTGCAGAACTGGTTCAGTTCATGGTGGATCTTGTTGAAGATGAGAGCCTTGTCATAGTCGGCAGTATAGTTCTTCACTATATCATACACTGGGAGGGAAGGACAGGGTTCGGCATGAGAAAAGGCAAGACTCAAAACTTTCTCAGGCAAAGCAGTTCTCCTTTGCTGAGGTGCCATAACAGACATGGGGCTGGCACGCTGGGTGAGAAAAAAACTGATGACCTACCTGCGTTTGGGACCAGGAAGTTCACCACTTCAATTCTGTCAAAGTAGATCATCACGCCACCACTATTGGAGGGACAACAGACAAAGAAGTCACTAGAAACTCTAGAATACTTCATCCAGTGCAGTCTCCTACGGTGATGGCATAAGGATTATAAAGAAATCATGGGCAGCTGAAAACCATCTTAAATCTCCAAGTGGGAGATCTTTAGAGCTTACAGCAATAACACAATCTCCTGAGAAATCATATTGCTTAAAAATATCTCTACAAAGACACAAGGAGACTTGTGGGGTATCAGTATGAAAAGAGGTGTTCATAGCTTTTGAATCAGCAATGCCTCTCGAGTAAAGCAATCAACTGCAGGGAAGAGACGAAAGCAGGTCAAGAAGGTGTCTGACCTTACAGGGTCACGGTAGAATTTCACAGCCAGTGTTTCTCAAATTGCCTTCCCTGTCACTTTAGTTAAGCAGTTGAATAGTATACAAAGGATTTCAAACATACAGAAAAGATGAAACACTAGTACACCCATATACCAACACTTAAACCCCTGACCCCCAATTCACACAGTGAAGCCCTAACTCCCAATGTGACTGTACTTGGAGACAGGGCTATTAAGAAGTTAATTAAGGTTAACAGGACTGGTGTCCACAAAGATCTTTTTCTCCTTGCACACACAGAGGAAAGGCCATGCTATGACACAAGAATGTGGTTATCTGCAAGCTAGGAAGAGAGGCCTCACCGGAAAGTGCCCCCGTGGCACCCTGATCTTGGATGATGGTGAGAAAGTAAGTATCTGTGGTGAAGCTTCCCAGTCTGCGGAGTCTGTTACAGCAGCCTGAGCAGACTCGACAGCTCCCACTAGCTCTTTTATAGCTGTTCTTCAGTGTTCATCACTGCATTTGTCTACATCGCGTATGAGTCCCCTCTAAAGACATCCACTTTGTGAGGACCTCAGTCAGTTCTCTTATGCGATCTCCAGTGCCACATTTGTCCTAGTGTTTCTATGTGGCATTCTTTTTCTTTTTTTTAAGATTGTAGAAGTTTATTGATATGTTCACAAAGCAAACAACCAGAAATTTAGTTATCCTTGCCATCATAATCAATAGCATGTAAAAAGGGATAACAAATAATATCGAAACCATTACTAGAAATGTAAATTAAGAGTCTTACTTAAAAGTGCTTCAGATGAAAACTAACTTTAAAATTTCTGTAAAAGAAATGCCATTTAAGTGTAGTATATCTACTTTCTATAGATTTTATTTTTATTTTTTGCAGTTTTTGGCCAGGGCTGGGTTTGAACCCGCCACCTCCAGTATATAGGGCCAGTGCCCTACTCCTTTGAGCCACAGGCACCACCCTCCACAGATTTTAGCCAGAACGCTACCCTTCTCCTTACAGAAGAATATGCTCTTAAATAGAGACAAAGCCAACACAAGAAACTGTCCCTATGATCAACGCCCAAGACAAACTGTCTGGAGCTATACAGATTACGTGGCAGTATTCCCCTGGCCAATCTGTGCAAATCAGGGCATCTTCATCCAAGACTGGTAAGAATCACAGTGTAAATTTATTTGGCCTGAGGCAAGTTTAGATTCCTTATCACAAGGGAGCTTGCTACTCTATTTCAGTTGAGACTCTCTTTGCTTCTCAACTGGACACAGCAACAATGTTCACCTGCCTTGACGGTCTCCCTACCTCTAGAATATTTTCCTTAGTTGTGCTAAATTTATCTTTCTGTTTCAGGTCATCTATCTGCTAAAACCCTTTAGTGTGCCCTCACTGCTAACAAAAGTGCAAACTGCTCATCACAGCACGTCAGCTCCTCTGCAACCTGCTCCGATTTTCTCTACTGCACTCCCCCTCCTGCTCAAACCAGAATACAGGGAGCGAGGGGACGGGCAATTTGGTAAAACCACCAAAACAACCTCCCTTTTCACTGTCTCTCCCTACAGCCAGGCTGCTAGTCCTTCCTTTACTTATTTGGGCTCAATAGCTTTATTCTGGATACCTTACCTAGTCCCACAAGGTACATTCTTCACCTCATCTGTCTGGAGTGTGGTCTGGAAACAGAGGAAACATGAAATACTAGAAGATCAGCAGTGACAGGCAAAGTTACTCTTTAGAAATCCAAATGTCTTTGTCCTTGAATAAATGTTTGGGTTGAGCTTTGCCTTCGTTAAACACGATGAGCTCACCTCGTCCTTCTTTCTTACAGAGTGTGGTTGCTAAACCGAACACAGGTGTCCACCCCAGCGTCACTGTAAGCGACCGCCACAGAAATGAGAATAATGGTTCAGTGAAGAGGACTCTGTGCTGGGAGTCTTAAGACTTGTGCTTACTTCCATCTTTCCATTTACAGCTGTTCCCCTTATTTTGGGGGGATACATTCTAAGAGTCCCAGTGGATGCCTGAAACCTTGGATTGTACTGAACACTATATACGCCATACTCTTTCTTATGTATATGATAAACTTTAAATTATAAATTAAACACAATAAGAAATGAACTAATAAAACAACATTTTTTTTTTTTTTGAGGCGGAGCCTCAAGCTATCCCCCTGGGTAGAGTGCCATGGCATCATGCTCACAGCAACCTCCAACTCCTGGGCTCAAGCGAGTCTCCTGCCTCAGCCTCCCAAGTAGCTGGGACCACAGGCGCCCTACCCCAACGCCTGGCTATTTTTTGGTTGCAGCCATCATTGTTGTTTGGCGGGCCCGGGCTGGGGATATGAACCCGCCACCTTAGGTGTATGTGGCTGGCGCCTTAGATGCTTGAGCCACAGGCACCGAGCCAAAACAACATATTGTAATAAAAATTAAGTGAAATGTGGTCTCTCTCTCCCAAAACATTTTACTGTACTGTTTTAACCTATTTTCAGACTGTGGTTAACCACAGGTTACTGAATTGGTGGAAAGTGAAACTGAGTAAGAGGGGACTACTGTACTGGTTTCGAAATAGCACATTCCTTATTTCACCTCAGACCTTATATACGTCTCAGACCATTACACCTCCTCGGCTCATTCTCTGGCTTCCTGAGAGACTCAACTGAGATCATGTACCTGAATGCACTTGGAAAGCCATAATGCATGGTAAACAGCAGAAGAAACTTACAGGGTTAGTTTAAAAGTCATTCTGAAAATATTCTTCTTAGCTAGATATACTCGAGAGATGGTGTTAGCTTTAGCCAGGCTTTAGCTCTGTCACAACTGATTCCACTTCTGGATGTCATTTCCCCTCATCCAGTTCTATTCCCCTACTCCCTCAAAAATTATGTTCACATTTCTGAGGTTCAAATAAGAATCAGCAAAATTACCATATTTTATTTTCATTTATCATGGTAGGCTGTGATTTAAAACACACACACACACACACACACACCCCTTTTCTTTCTATACATGCCAAAGAGATTCTTCTCTGGATTTTAAACCATTCTCTGAAAAGGCATTTTACTCATCCAATGGCTAAATAATTTCAAGTCATGTACTAGTCAACAGCTCAAATTTCCAGTCATCTAACCATAGCACACAGCCAAGTTTACCTGCACAGACTTATACGATGTGATGAAAGGGAGCATGAGATGGAAACCAGGGCCACTAGTGGACGTCAGGAGGGCGCCACCTCTGCAGAGGGAGAGACAGGCAGGTTTGGTTTAACAACAGGGTTCTATTACATCAATGCCACGTGGCCCAACTTTCTCTTCAGTCCTATAAACATTTAACAGAGAGGGACATTGGCCAAGGGCATGTCTCCAGATCCCTCTTGTCCGTTCTACTTGACTCTAATATTCTAGGGAGGGTGATGGTGAAACATAGACCTATTATTCATGCTTTTGCAATCAGAAAAATAATCACAAAGGGTAAATGGCATAGAGACAGCAGAATCTTTGACTATACTTAGATAAGATAGGTAAACCTGTTTTACTTGTCATATCTGTCGAGCATGGTGCCAATCCATTAGGGCAGTTAAATCCAGTAATATGGTTATCAATTAACTGGACTAATGCTGGAGTCCAGTACGGTGACCTGCTAAAAGAATAATTTTAAGTACACTTTATAAGCCATTTAAATATATACTCAGAGGGTGCCAAAAAACTGTATACACATTTTAAGGAAGGGAAAGACTGTATCAAAGTTGTAATACTCAGTATATACTGATAATGTTTGTTATCTTATATTTCTTATAATTGCAGAAGACAAATGTTACTTATTACAATTTTAATACAGTTATTGCCTTTCTTAAAATGTGTACAGTTTTTTTTAGCATCCTCTGTATGTTTTTTGGCAGTTACCTTTCTAATCAAGTTGTATGTAGATGATAAAAGCCTTTTTCGGGAACACAACAGCTATTATAGGGAGAAATAAAGGAGAGGAGGAACTGGATCTCAATCAGAGTTTTAGAATTTGTTTCCAGCAATCCAGAAATAAGCATCATAGGGCATACATAAGAAGGAGTTCAGAGGCTGGGTGTGGTGGCACACGAGTTCAAGACTAGCCTGAGCAAAAGTGAGACCCTATCTCTACTAAAAATAGAAAAACTGAGGGAAGAGGATCGCTTGGGAACAAGAGTTGGAGGTTGCTGTGGAGTTCATAAAGACTTAAAGCAAAAAAATCATACTAAAGGGAAAGCAACCCAAGATTTATAAGTGCTTCATAATAATAAAGTCAAGGAATTTTTTCTTTTCTTTGAGAAAGAGTCTTACTCTGTCACCCTGTAGAGTGCCACAGCATCACAGCTCACCACAACCTCAAACTCCTGGATTTAAGAGATCCTCTTGCCTCAGCCCCTGGGTAGCTGGGACGACAGGTGTCCACCACCATACCTGGTGAGTTTTTCTGTTTTTAGTAGAGATGGAGACTCACTCTTGCTCAGGTTGATCTCGAACTCCTAAACTCAAGGGATCCTCCCACATCGGCTTCCCAGAGAACAGGTGTGAGCCCATCCTCAAGGAAAAAAAAAATCTTTTTTTTTTTTTTTTTGAGACAGTTTCACTTTGTTGCACTTTGGTAGAGTGCTGTGGCATCACAGCTCACAGCAACCTCCAACTCTTGAGCTTAAGTGATTCTCCTGCCTCACCCCCCAAGTAGCTGGGACTATAGGCGCCCGCCACAACGCCTGGCTATTTTTTGGTTGTAGCTGTCATTGTTTGGCAGGCCTGGGCTGGGTTCGAACCCACCAGCTCTTGTGTATGTGGCTGGCGCTCTAGCCGCTGAGCTACAGGTGCTGAGCCTCAATGAAAATTAAAAAAAACCCAAACAAGCAATAAAGTAAACTGACACTAAGTTGCTTTGTTATAGGAATCCTAAGGCTTGTCTTGAACTGACATAAATCAACCTGGTTTTTCATTTTTCCTGAAATGTTAATTGAAAAGAGTATCCCAAATTAGCAGAGGCTATCTTCTCAAATTGCCGTCATGAATCGGGACTCAGCTGGTTTTACAGAGGCAACCTAGCAGCATGGAACCAAGTCTGCCAGGAGGGCGCCATCTAACAAGAAGTTGCAAGTTTCTACCTGTCTCTGCCTTACCTGTAATATACCCCAATATGTCCCTCTTCTATCTTGTGCACGGCTGAGAAGAGAGCTGCACAAAGGAAACTGGAAGTCAAGGCCACAATTGCCCCCAGCTGAGCCATCAGTGAGCCTTTATCCTAGGGAAAAGATAAGGGGAAAATGTGTGTGGTCTGGTGTGCAGGAGAAAAGATACCATAGCCAGAGCGCCTCACCAAGCTGAGTTCCCTGAAAGTGACTCATATCTAGCATGGTACAGCACGAACACAAGGCTAGATTTACAACTCACTTCATCCGTGTCCTCAGTAAACATCCCCATTCTGTAATTGTGGAATTACATTTTCCACTGCACTGAAGAGGCAGTCGGTCCAGATACAGCCACTGCCCAACAGAGAACCCGTGCCAGTTGGACAGGGTTCAGAACACAGCCTTCTCTTCCTGTGAACACGAATGTGCTGTCACGAGAGCTCTCATGCTAGCAGAGGGGAAGAGGCAGCTGTGGAACTTTGGCCCAAATTACAGAGTATGTCAAATGACAGGCAGTTGTGGCTATGTAATTCTGGTCAGAGCCTCCCTGTCCTAATTGCCTGCTGTTTCAAAGGAAACCATTATTTACTCCTTTCAGATGCTGGAGTGACAGAGACAGCATGCGAGCAGAGTTCCAAGGCAAGCTTCTCTGGCCGCTCATCTAACTTCCCAGTTATTCCTTTGGCCCTAAACGGGACAGAGCTCTGAACAAGACTGAAAACACATTCTCTCCCGTCTATTTGAGCACTGGGCACCTGACAGAGCCCCAAGCCCATGGTTAGAGGAAAAAGAGAGTGCCCCAGACTGGGGAACTCTGGGCTCCTCGTGGGTCCAACTGCGTTCAGGACGCGAAAGAGCTGGCATCCAGAAGCTAATTTCCTGAACGCCGAATGAACAGGAAAACCACCGGGAACCGACAGCAACGTTAAGTCGGGCACGGATTCCGCCTCCCAGGTCTAACAGAACTCGGGCGCGGTTATCTGGGAGGCGCTTATTTTTACCGTGGCGGCCTCCAGCTACAGATCTGCAGTTGCGTTCTTTCAGCAAATGTCCTTCCCACCCCGAGGTCACCCCGCCCCGCCTCGCGCCCCTTCCCCGCCCTCCTCTGAGGGAGGGTCAAGCGCCGTGGGTCTGAGCTCTGGCTCCGGCAGCCTCCGCCTGGTCCCGCCTGGTCCCGCCTGGGGGCTCGCGGAGAGGAGACTGGCAAGAAAGGGGTTTCTCTCACTCAGGAGCGGGCCGGCTGAGGGAGAGGGGCTGCTGGGGTGGGGGCTCCCGAGGACGGCGAGTCAGCCCCGGATGGGAGACGCTACCAGACCCGGTGAGCGCTCTAAGGGGCGGGGGCCGCGTACCACGCTGTCCCTGCAGGCGCTCCGTACTCGTCCGAACCCCAGTGCAACCGCAGAAACCGCCACACCTCTCTGCACGCTACTTCCTTCCGGGCTGTCGCCTTGATGACGTCATCAGTTCACGCGAGAAGACCACACCCCCGTCTCCCTTCGCCCCGCCCCTCGCCTGCCTAGCTTTCCGAGTCCGCTCACCGCCACCAGGGATCGCCCGCGGCTTGGTTCGGGCCGTTCTGGACTGCGGTCTGGGATTTCGGGAATGGGGCTGGGAATGAAGGTGGGGGTATGGGACAGTGAGCGACAGGACACCCAGGGTATCCCTTTCCATGGTTTTGACTCTGGATTCCTCCCTGCATTACTCCCCTAGCCCCCAGCAGATACTAGCGAGTTGCCCCCATTCGCTTTCCTATGGAACAGCTGAATCAAACAGTCTTTTAAAGGTGCAGATTAGCACCATTATGTCGCTTATCAACAATACCTACTTCGAATAAAACTTTTCTGGGAGCTTTATTCTTTGAGAGCCCCACAATATCTAAAAGCAGATTAACAAGGAATTATCATTCCAATTTAAATGAACAGAATCTAAGAAATTCAGTGACATGGGAGGGTAAAAGCGGCCGTTTATATTTCCTTAAAATCATGAGCTTAGTACCTTTGTCACACTTGTCAGAGTGCACAGGGGCCTATGTGCGTCTTCGTCTCCCAGAGTTGACTGTACGTTCCTGGAGGGCAGGCACTGTGCATTTCCTGCACTGCGCTCGGGGCTTAGGCGCTCAGTAAACGCAGGCTGAAGACGCAGGACGGGAATCCAGGCGTGTCTTGTGGTCGGAGGGCTTCACTCTGCCCTTAGCTTGCATGTACAGAAGCAATTACATTGGGGCATTTCTATAATAATTAAGTCACTGAATTTGTTTGCAGGCTATGCTTAATCAGTAAATGAAAAACTTTTACGCAAGGCAAATGGTAAGCTGATGGTGTTAGACTTAAGACTCAAAAGAACGGTGTAGGTTTTCCAGGCATGGCTGCTTGAGCTTGGCCCATTCTCCCTCCCTGAGTTTGCTCTGGGTGAGTTTGTGTCGGGATGGTTCAACATTGTTTGATTAATCCCATAAGTGAGCAATGCGGTGCTGTCTGGGAGCTCTGTGCCCACCTCCGTAGATCAGAGCTTCTCTCTTCACTCTGGCACTGCACCACCCCATTCCCCACTCTTAGGCACAGCTGGCTAATCTCTGGATGATTCCTATCAGAACTTGAGAGCATTCTCTCTCTGTGTTCAGTGATGTAACTCAGCTGGGAGTGCTTAATAAATAATTATTTAATAGTTGAGTGTATGAGGAGGAAAAATGGAATTATTGGGGTTTATCAACCCCCCAATTAGGCATTGGAGTATAGTCTGCAGCATAAAGTATTTAAATTACTTGTAATTTAATAATTTCCTTTAGTCACCCTCTAGCTATCCTGCATCCCCCCACCCTACCCATAAGTATATACAATTACTATTTGTCCTAAAAATAATAAAAGCAAAAAGATTTTCCTAACTATTAAACCTTGGAATGGGGCCAGGCAAGGTGGCTCATGCCTGAAATCCTAGCACTCTGGGAGGCGGAGGCAGGTCAATTGCTTGAATTCAGGAGTTCCAGAGCCTGTGCAAGAGCAAGGCCTGTTTCTAAAAATAGCTGGGGCATTGTGGCAGGTGCCCTACTTGGGAAGCTGAGGCAAGAGGACTACTTGAATCCAGGAGTTGTAGGTTGCTGTGAGCTATGACACTACAGCACTCTACCAAGGGTGACAGAGCGAGACTCTGTCTAAAATAAAATGTAAAATAAAATAAAATATAGCAGGGCACGATGGCTAATGCCTATAATCCTAGAACTTTGGGAGGCCAAGGTGGGTGGATTGCTTTAGCTCACAGGTTCAAGACCAGCCTGAGCCAGAGGGAGACCCCCATCCCTAAAAGTAGCTGTGTGTTGTAACAGGCGCCTATAGTCCCAGCTACTCTGGAGGCTGAGACAAAAGAATCACTTAAGCCCAAGAGTTTGAGATTGCTGTGAGTTGTGATGCCACAGCAGTCTACCAAGGGTGACAAAGTGAGACTCTGTCTCAATAAATAAAATAAAATAAACTTTGGAATGCATTATGAGTAGAAGTTGCAGGATTTTGTTCTCTAGAGGATTTTTTATCAGGCCTGAGTTATTTGGGTTTCTTTTTTCTTTCTTTCTTTCTTTTTTTTGAGACAGAACCTCAAGCTGTTGCCCTGGGTAGAGTACCTTGGTGTCACAGCTCACAGCAATCTCCAACTCCTGCACTTCTGCGATTCTCTTGCCTCAGCCTCCCAAGTAGCTTGGACTTCAGATGCCCACCACAATGCCCGCTATTTTTTGGTTGTAGTTGTCACTGTTGTTTGGCAGGCCCGGGCTGGATTCGAACCCACCAGCTCTGGTGTATGTCGCTGGCACCTTAGCCACTTGACCCATAGGCCCCAAGCCAGGCCTGAGTTATTTAGCTGTGGTCCTGTCTAGAGGGAGGAAGCAGGTTTCATTAGAGGATGCTTAACAGTTTTGAAAATCCCTTTCTTAATAGACCTGCAATTTTAATGATTCAGTATCCAAAGTTACAAGCAGATAAATCTGTGAAGATTTGTTTAAAAAAAGTATATAAAAGTTAATTTAAAAAAAACCTTTCAGTATAGAGTAGTGGTTAAGCTCAGATACTACATATCCCAGAGTCAGACTGCCTGGGCTTAAATTACCTCCCTGTCTCTTATTAACCATGTAACCTCTGGAAAACAACTTAATCTAGCTGTGCCTCCGTTTCTTAATCTGTAAAATGGGGGCAGTAACGGTATGAACCTTATAGGACTGTGAGGGTTAAACACCAGATCAAGAAAACTGCACACAAAGTTTGGCACATTTTAAAAGAGTTCACTGTTAGCTGTGGCTGTTTTAAATAGCAAATTCCTTTAATGTGTTGACTGTTTGTGAGTTCAGATTATTAATGTGACACAGGGTAAAAGAAGCGTAAGCTTAAAATTGTGTGATATTGAGGAATAACCAAGTCAGAAGAAGAGATAAGGGCCCCTATTTTATCTCAGTAAATATTTATAGTACATATTTCATAAGGTATTGAGTACTGTCTACGCATCAGGTCTTACACTTTCTCACTTTATGTAATCTTCAGGTTAGCCAGCCCTTGGAGTTCAGCTCTATTTTACAGGAGGACGTTGAAGGTTAGAAAAATTAAGGGATTGTATAAGATCATAAAGTTGCAAAGGCAGAATTCAAATGATCCCAAGTATATTTCTTTTTTTTTACAGTAAATGAATTGGGAAATGATTCAATTTAAAACACACACACACACACACACACACCACATTTATTTCACATGTAACCTTTTAGGAATGTATACCAGTGGTCCGAAATTGTCAAACTTTAAATCAGACCCGTTCATTTTGCAGTTATAGGTTGAAGTGAGATAAAAACTACTTTGACCCAGCAATCCACATCTCCCTGTCTCTGGATTGCTGTTTGTTCAGTCCTCTTATCAAGCTATTAGTGAAAGTATCACTGCAAAGAGTGAAGAGATCTCCTTGTTTCACAATAAGAACGTCTTTTTATTTAGGTTAACCCCATGGGAACTGGGCAACATTAAAAATCTTTGGCTTTGGTTCTTTTATATCACAAAAGTGGAAGTTGCTGGAAAAAGTTTTTGTTTGATTTAGGTTTTTTCTTGTTTACTTTAGGCTGTAAAACAGACAATAGAGGTAATCTTTTAGGATATTTGATGCCAGTAAGATTTTGGTGAATTTAGGGGAAGAGGAGTGAATAGCTATATCCTGAGTTATTAAGAGACTTGCTTAGAACCTGATTTTCAGTTGGAAAAACCTGATTTGTGCCTTCAAAGAACAAAAGCATATTTGCTTGGAGCTAATGATGTTTCTTTAAGGCAGGTGGATGAAGGGATCGAAGAATAATTACCAAAAAAATTGAATTAGAAGTCAGTGGGCAGTCACCTAAGGGTCATTTTGCCATTGTATGTTTTAAGAGCTTAGTTGAGACATAATTGACACATAATAAACTGTACA